GTGCTCTTGGAGGCCAGCAGGTGGCATTGGATCTCCTGGAACTAGATTTAGGAATGGTTGTGAGTGGTCATGTGGGTGCTGGGAATTGAACCTGGGTCCTCTGAAAATGCAGCACATGTAGAGCATCTCTACAACCCCAAGAAGTTGCTTTTAGATTTTGTTTTGTTTTGTTTTGTTTCGAGACAGGGTTTCTCTGTATTGCTTTGGAGGCTGTCCTGGAACTCACTCTGTAGACCAGGCTGGCCTCGAACTCACAGAGATCCGCCTGCCTCTGCCTCCCGAGTGCTGGGATTAAAGGCATGCACCACCATACCTACTAATCTATGTATTTCTACATGGCCTTATCTTACCAGAGACCATCTGGCACATCCTGTCCTCCTTGTCTCTACATGGCATCTCCTCGAGGCACCTCTCTCTGCCTATCTTTCCAGAATTCTCCTCATCTCCTAACCCCGCCTATCTTCCTGCCTCTTTTGGCCAACAGTGTTTTATCCATCAACCAACAAGAGAAACATATATGCAGAAGGACGTCCCCGCCATGTGAGTACTCCACCTGCCTCTGCCTCCTGAGCACTGGGATTAAAGACACCACCCGGCTAAAGCGTATTGCTTCATAGGAAAATTGTGTTTATCATTCTCACCACTAATTCAAACACAAAACCTCTTAGTCTTCACCACAACTGACCATCAGCAGCCACATTTAACTCCATAAGCTTCTCATAGAAAGTGCAAAGTTTAGCCGGGCGTTGTTGGCGCACGCCTTTAGTCCCAGCACTTGGGAGGCAGAGGCAGGCGGATGTCTGTGAGTTCGAGGCCAGCCTGGTCTACAAGAGCTAGTTCCAGGACAGCCTCCAAAGCCACAGAGAAACCCTGTCTCGAAAAACCCCCCAAAAAAAAAAAGAAAGAAAGAAAGTGCAAAGTTTGCGGGGCAGTGGTCGTGTGCATCTTTAATCCCAGCACTCAGAAGGCAGAGACAGGAGGATCTTTGTGCGGTCAAGGCCAGCCTAATCTACAGAGCTCCAGGACAGACTTCAAAGAAGAGTAACCCTGGGCTGGGGAGGTGGCTCAGAGGTTAAGAGCACTGGCTAGTCTTCCAGAGGACCTGAGTTCAATTCCCAACAACCACATGGTGGCTCACAACCATCTATAATGAGATCTGGTGTGTATGTCAGAACACTGTATGTATAATAAATAAATAAATCTTAAAAAAAAAAAAAGAGTAACCCTGTCTCGGGGTAAAAAAGAAAGTTCAAAGTCTGTTTCAGTAAATTTCTGACAGCTAGTGCCTGGAAAGGAGATAGTCAGCTTCATCCTAGCCAACAGTCTAGGAGATTCTGCGGGGGGAAAAAAGCTTTGAAGTAACTTTCAAGAGCACAGGCCACTCACAAGCAGCTACACCTCCCACTATGCACCTATTATTTTATATGGCTTGAGGTTGCTGCAGAAGCAATGCAAACCTGGGTTCAGAGCGCCACCTAGTGTTAATGATGTAGAGGACACTACAGGCTCCAACCACAGAAGACAAAACAAACGCACTCTGGGAAAGCCAGTTTCTGTGCAGTCTGGGAAAGCCGGTTCTGTCAGACAGAACAGCTAAATGACCTTTTGTGGCCATGTGGAGTTATTCTAAGACTGGCTGTGGTGGCACAGTCTGTAGTTATAGTACTCTGGAAATAAAGGCAGAGGTTCAGGAGTTCAAGGACATCCTCAACTTCCTAGCAAGTTTGAGGCCAGGGGACTAGTCCTACAAAGGTTAGTGAAACCTTGTCTCACAAAGCAAACTAAGAAGCCAGGCGGTGGTGGCACAAGCATTTAATTCCAGTGCTCGGGTGGCAGACACAGGCAGATCTCTGTGAGTTTGAGAGCGCCCTGGTCTACAAGAGCTAGTTCCAAGACAGCCTCCAAAGCCACAGAGAAACCCTGTCTCAAACCCTCCCCCCCAAATAAAAAGAGTATGGTGTTTCAAAAGAACCAACTTTGAGTCCCAGTATCTCTGGAAGACTCAAAACTGCTTGTAACCCCAGCTGCAGGGAATGTGATAGCCTATGACTCATGCAGTACCTTCACTCACCTGACTATCCTTATACACACACACACACTCACACACACACACAATCACACACACAATCACACTCACACAGTCTCACACACACACACACAGTCTCACACACACACACACAGTAGAAATGATAAGATAGACTGCACAGAGGACTGAGAGAATGAAGATGGATGCCATTCCTGGGGTAGCACATCCACCTTGGACCCCTGGGACTGATGGGGGTTAAGGGTGATGGAACAAGAGGAAAGACGCTACTTCTTTCTCACAGTGAGAAGCCATCACTCCTACTGCATCCACGCTGAACCGAAAGGGAACCCAAGTTCTTCATTCACACTGTGGATTTTCTGTCCCTTCTAGATGATTGATCTATATTAATTAATACAGATTTAGCCTTTGTCTTTCCCTGCCTGTGCTGGCTACGGCTAGTTTTTGTTTTGTTTTTGTTTTTTTTTCGAGACAGGGTTTTCTGTGTTGTTTTGGAGGCTGTCCTGGAACTCGCTATATAGACCAGGCTGGCCTGGAACTCACAGAGATCCGCCTGCCTCTGCCTCCCAAGGGTGTGCCACAAACGCCCAGCTATGGCTAGTTTTATGTCAACTTGACACAAGCTAGAGTCATTAGAGAGGAAGGAGCCGCAACTGAGAAAATGCCTCCATAAGATTGGGCTGTAGGCATTTTTTAAATTAGTGGTTGATGGGGAGGGTCCAACCCATTGTGGGTGGGGCTACCACTGGGTTGGTGGTCCTGGGTTCTATAAGAAAGTATCTGAGCAAGCCATGAGGAACTGGCATGTAAGCAGGACCCCTCCAGCCTCTGCATCAGCTCCTGCCTCTAGGTTCCTGCCCTGTCTGAGTCCTTACTCTGACTTCCTTTAATGGTGGATTGTGATGTGGAAGTGTGAGTCAAATAAACCTTTTCCCCCAAAAGAAATGATAAAGTCAATCTTTTTTTTTTTTTTTTTTTTTTTGGTTTTTCAAGACAGGGCTTCTCTGTATTGTTTTGGAGGCTATCGGTCCAGCCCAGCCTCGAACTCACAGAGATCCGCCTGCCTCTGCACCCTGAGTGCTGGGATTAAAGGCGTGCGCCACCACCGCCCATCTTAAAGTCAATCTTTTTAAAATGCAAAATAAGGCTGAGTGGTGGTGGTGCACACCTTTAATCCCAGCATGTGAGAGGCAGAGGTAGACTTCTCTGAGTTCGAGACTAGCCTGGTCTATAAAGTGAGTTCCAGGACAGCCAGGGCTACGCAGAGAAACCTTGTCTCAAAAAATAAAACAAAACAAAGTTTGTCTCTATGTATACACGTAATGTCTGTGCACCTGTGCAAGGACCTGTTCAGATTTGGAAGACAGAAACCTCTCAAGCATCCTGCCCCGAGACTCTGCCTTATCCCTTCACACAGGCTCTCTTGTTGAACCTGAAGCTAGGTTGGTAGACAGGGAAGCCCTATGAACCCTCCTGACTCTAATGCCCCCGCCTCCGTTCCCTGTTCCCTGTCCCTGTCCCACAGTGCTAGGATTCCAGATACATATGTGAATTCTGGGGATTTGAACTCAGGTCCTCACGTTGATACAGCAAAATGCTCTTACCTGCTAAGCCGTCTCCTCAGTTGCATATAATGAAATCTTAGTATCAGAGACTTCATTTTGCAAACAGGGTCATTAGTGAAGATGAGGTCATAAATGTGAAGAGTTTGTGTCTTTGCACTGGTCGTGTCCATCTATAACCCCAGTACAGTGGAGGCTGTGGCCGTCTAAACTGGAAAGCAAGACCCTATCTGAAGTGAGACTGACCTTGAACTCCTGATTCCTCCCCCTCCTAAACTTTATTCTACATTCGTGTGTGCACGAGGTGCCTCTCCGAAGCCTGCAGAGGTCAACAGAACATCGGATCCCCTGGAACTGGGTTAAAGAGCCAGTTGTGGTCTGCTGCTGAGAACCCAGGTCCTCTGCAAGAGCAGCCAATGCTCTTAACTCTGAACCATCTCTGTAGCCTACCCTGATTTTCTTGCCTCTAATTTGCAAGGGCTGGTATTGCATCATCTTGGCTAGCGTTAAGACCAGACTGGCCTTGAGCTCAGCAAGACCCTCTTGTCTCTGTCTTGCTCGGCAGTCTTTTTAGGTGTCAACGTTTTGTCTGCATGTTTTTATGTTTGTGCACCACGTCGGGGCTTGGTGGTGGTGGTGCGGGGATCAGAGGAGGGCATGGATTCTCTAGAACTTACAGATGGTGAGTCACAAAATGTGGGTGCTGAGACTTGAACCCAGGTCCTTTGCAAGACCTAAACAGCCTTGCCAGGTCTCCAGCACCCTTGTACTATTTCAAAGCAAGTCCCTCTCTTTGAAGTGTTTTTTGTTTGTTTGTTTGTTTGTTTGTTTTCCAAGACAGGGTTTCTCTGTATTGTATTAGAGGTTGTCCTGGAACTCGCTCTGTAGACCAGGCTGGCCTCGAACTCACAGAGATCCGCCTGCCTCTGCCTCACGAGTGCTGGGACTAAAGGCGTGCGCCAACAACGCCCGGCTCCTTGAAGTGTTTTAAAGCACCAGTTCCCCCCACATCTTGCAAACTGGCCATACTATACAAGTGCAGCAGCGCCACAGTAGCCTTAGAGCGTTTAGTTCCAGGAGACAATCTCCCAGATGGCACCGCGGAACCTGTGGGTTGCGTGACCATAGAATGACCAATAGCTGAGGAGTTCGAGAAGGTAGCAAGGTCTCTCAGTCTACCCGCACTGGAGCAGCGAGACTACCTCTCCCATAAGCCATTGCGGCCTTGACTCTCATCTTTTCCAGACTTGGCGAGGGCGGAGCGAGTAAGGACTCCTCTTTCCCGGCAGGCGGTGCGGCCATAGGGGGCGTGGGACTTCATTTCCCAGCAGGCTTCAGGCGGCGGGCGCCGCGGTGCCTTGTGTGGGATGTAAGCGCGGAGGTGGGCTCGGGGGACTGAGGCCAGGACTCTCCTTGGGGTTTGCGGGCGGCTGGTTTGGGTTCGTCTTCTGGACAGGCTCCAGAGGGCCGGGTAGAGGTCATAGGGACCGGGAGGGGTGACCTTTGAGGGTCCTCATTGAGGTCTTTGGGACGCAGCCTCATCGGGGCTGGGGGTCCCGGGATTGTAAGGAACAAGAAGGCCCCACAGTCTTGGTTGAAGGGTCTCAGCGACCGAGCCTCCGCCCGTGAGCGCAGGACGAAGCGGCTGGCGAAACAGAATTGTGGCGGAGGGTAGAGCCTTAGCTGAGCCTGGGAGGGGGCTGTCCCTCCGAGCCCGACCCTCCCTCCCTCGGCTCGCCCGCAGGCCACCGCCCGCCGCCATGGGGCTGAAGGCCGCCCAGAAGACGCTGTTTCCTCTGCGCTCTATCGACGACGTGGTGCGCCTGTTCGCTGCGGAGCTGGGCCGAGAGGAACCTGACCTGGTGCTCCTCTCTTTGGTCCTGGGCTTCGTGGAGCATTTCCTGGCTGTCAACCGTGTCATCCCCACCAACGTGCCCGAGCTCACTTTCCAGCCCAGTCCTGCACCCGACCCTCCTGGCGGCCTCACCTACTTCCCGGTGGCCGACCTGTCCATTATTGCTGCCCTCTATGCCCGATTCACCGCCCAGATCCGAGGCGCTGTCGACCTCTCCCTCTACCCTCGAGAGGGGGGCGTTTCCAGTCGCGAACTGGTAAAAAAGGTCTCCGATGTCATATGGAACAGCCTCAGCCGCTCCTACTTCAAGGACCGTGCCCACATCCAGTCCCTCTTCAGCTTCATCACAGGTTGGAGTCAGACAGGTGGTCAGGGGAGTAAATGAATGTTGGCTCACCTCTTCTAGTGTCTGAATGTTTACAGCCCATTTGAGACCTGTATACCTTGTAATATTTTTCCTTTGCAGCTGTGGAAATACAATCTCGAAGAGGGCAAGTGATGTTTTAATGTTAGAATGACAGGGCTGGGACTGGATCCTGATCATTTGGGACCAGATCTCCCTTCTCGGGGGACCATGTATGTCTTTCTTAGGGTCCTCCTTGTTTCCTAGCTTTTTTGGCGGTTTGAATTGTAGGCTGGTAATTCAGCACCCCTAGCCCTGCCATTGATTAGTCACAGGAATCTGGCAGCCTAACATATGGGGAAAGCCGGTGGCAGCCGTTTGGGGAAGTAGGACAAAGGGATGTATATACATTTGAGAGAATTAAATGAGATGATGCCTATGAAAATATTTTGAAAGGAAACACAGACTTGAGCTGCAGAATGCTAAGGACTTGTAAAGTGCTTCAGCTCCCGGTGCATGGTATTGAGCAAGAATCTGAGGCCATTTCTGAGCTTAGCAGAAAAAAAGACAGAGATATAAGTCAGGGCGTGGGCTGTGGGGTGGGTCATGGGTTTGTTCTCCCTGTTACAGTCTAATAGGTGTACAGTAAGATGTCAGTAAAATCATTATGCCAACAGAAGTACATGGTGTAGAAGAGGGAGGGGTGGGATCCAGGAAGGTTTGCTGCTGGGGTTGGGTTAACAGGAGTGAGGGGTTGTGTGCAGAAGAAAAGCCGGATGTGATGGGAAGACATGTGAGGCTTGGACACAGGCTTGAGAGGTGTTGGGGGCATGGCCCCTTCTTTCAGGCCAGAGCTCTTATTTCCACCCTCTTCTACAGGCACTAAACTGGACAGCTCAGGTGTGGCCTTTGCAGTGGTGGGGGCCTGCCAGGCCCTGGGTCTCCGAGATGTCCATCTGGCCCTGTCTGAGGATCATGCTTGGGTGGTGTTTGGGCCCAATGGGGAACAGACAGCTGAGGTCACCTGGCATGGCAAAGGCAATGAAGATCGCAGGGGCCAAACAGTCAATGCTGGTGTGGCTGAACGGGTATTGTATTTCCTCTCAGTCTCACCCTTTTCTTACTGTTAGCCCAAGTCATCTGAGGGATTCCACTTCCCTGGCCATGCTCCTCTTCCCATCAGCCGTCCCTGTTCGTATCAAGGGGGAAGGCAGATTGAAGTTGCCATGCCCTAGAGCAGGCACAGGGTGGGGCATCCTGAGATACCTACTTTTGTGCCTTTCCAAGAGCTGGCTGTACCTAAAAGGATCATACATGCGTTGTGATCGCAAGATGGAGGTGGCGTTCATGGTGTGTGCCATCAACCCTTCCATTGACCTTCACACTGATTCCTTGGAGCTGCTGCAGCTGCAGCAGGTGAGGAGCCTGCCTCTGCCCAGCCCCCACCCCTCCTCCTGTCTATGAAATGGGAGACTGGCGTTGAGACATGAAGGCCTTTGCTTCATGAAAGGACTGAGTCTTGAACTCTGGCCTAATCTGGTAGAAAGGCCCTGTTGCTTCTGGACACCACTCTACCTGATAGGCAGCCAGCTCCCTTCTCTTCACTCATAACTCTTTCCCTTTGGCTCTAGAAGCTGCTTTGGCTGCTGTATGACCTGGGACATCTGGAAAGGTCAGTAGAGGGATGTGGTCAGACTAGATTTTGGGGGAGCCAGGGTCCTGAGTGACAACCTGTGCTTATTATGTGTTCCTAGGTACCCCATGGCTCTAGGGAACTTGGCAGATCTGGAGGAGCTGGAGCCCACCCCTGGTCGGCCAGACCCACTCACGCTCTATCACAAGGTGAGGGCATCTCAGAAAATAGCAACTCCTTTCTGGAAATTTCGAGGAGGTAGGTGAAAAATGAACTTTGTGTGCTGGAGGGTATTTCCCGCCCTATCAAGCACGTGTATAATGAGGGTAGTTGTATGTTTAAGAAGTGCCCTGGGTTCCCTAGCATAGTACTGGCAGGGCCTGGATTTGTCTCACCAGCCCTCATTTTCCAGCTGCCCCTCATTATCCTGGCATGTAGCTCGTGGTAGCACTGTGGAGAGATGTTAGGTTGCTCAATGTGGTAGGGGGTGATTGGGCTTAGAAGTCTTTATAGAGGAATATGTGGGGAAGAGACCTGCCCTGCCACTTCCTAGGCCTTGTTTTATAGGGTCACCCCTCCTGTTGTCTGCCCTTGCCTTAATAAGCAGACTTGTATATCAGGCCTGGGATGGAGGTGAGAGGGAGTGGGGAGCACCAGCTAGAGGGGTCAGCAAGGATTGGAGTCAGGGAGGACTCTTCGGGGTCCTTCTTTTGAAGATATCATTGATGAGGCATTTGTGCTAGCCCATGCAGCTGGGGGCTCCCTCGCTGAGATTCCTCTTCCCCATCCTCCAGGGAATTGCCTCAGCCAAGACCTACTACCAGGATGAGCACATCTACCCCTACATGTACCTGGCTGGCTACCACTGTCGCAACCGTAATGTGCGCGAAGCCCTGCAGGCCTGGGCCGACACTGCCACTGTTATTCAAGAGTGAGGATTCCCCTGCCAGGGCCTCCAGCTTGTCCTTTCTGTCACTTTCCAGGCAGTCATCCAGGAGTGAGACTGTGTCCCAAGCCCTGTCCCCTCTCTGATCAGCCCCTACAACCAAACTGCCATTACCCAGGAAGTGAGGACCTCTGGTTGGAGCCTTATGCCTTGTCTTCTTTCCTCTCTCTGCCCAATTTCTAGTCTAGCCCCACATCCTACTCCTTAATCTTGCCTTAAAGTAATGTGGTCACCGTCATCTGGATGAACAAGGACCCCAACCTCTTACCCAGTCAGTTGGATGTTCAATTGTGGGGGCATTGTCAACCTGAATCCTACATGTTCTCACAGCTACAACTACTGCCGGGAGGATGAGGAGATCTACAAGGAATTCTTTGAAGTGGCCAATGATGTCATACCCAATCTGCTGAAGGAGGCAGCCAGCCTGCTAGAAGCAGGCGAGGAGCGGCCAGGGGAGCAGGCTCAGGTGAAGGGCAGGACTCCCTTGTTCCACCTTCCTTCCTGGGCACATTGGACTGCATGGACAGAACTGGGGGTCCTCTTTTGCTGGGGCTGATATCTTGGGCTTGGGTTTGAAAGGACTTGAGGGTGTTTTAGAGCTAAAGCCTTCAGGTAAATGGATTGATTGATGTTCGTCTCTTTCATGGCCAGGTTCTCACCTGGGTTAGGCTGTAGGTGAGGAAAGGTACACTTCCTTTCCCCCGCATGCATAACAAAGGTTGGCTTAGTAAAAGGACAGTCCTGGCCTGTAGTTGCTTTAACTGAAACCAGAGCTTTGCCCAGATGAAACCTGGCTGGACACTGTGTCTGACCTCTTCCTTATTCTGTCTAGGGCACCCAGAGCCAAGGTTCTGCCCTCCAGGACCCAGAGTGCTTTGCCCACCTGCTGCGATTTTATGATGGCATCTGCAAATGGGAGGAAGGCAGCCCCACACCAGTACTGCATGTGGGCTGGGCCACTTTCCTTGTGCAGTCCCTAGGCCGCTTCGAGGGACAGGTGAGAGGCCTATGCAGGGGGCTGGGAACTACAGGTGGTGGCAGTGGCCACAGGGCAATGGGATTATTGCATATGCCTGAGTACAGACAAAAGGAAACTCCTAGAGGGGTGGCCAGGGCCTGAGCTTGGCACTCCCACTGGTGATCCACAACCTTTTCCTTGGCTTGCACTCTTGCTCAGGTGCGGCAGAAGGTGCACATAATTAGCCGTGAAGCAGAGGCAGCAGAGGCTGAAGAACCATGGGGGGATGAAGCCCGAGAAGGCCGGCGGCGAGGTCCTAGACGGGAGTCCAAACCTGAGGAACCGCCCCCACCCAAGAAGCCTGCACTGGACAAGGGCCCTGGCTCTGGGCAAAATGCAGGGTCAGGACCACCCCGGAAAACACCAGGGATTGTCCCAGGTACTGCCCGTGGCCCAGAAGCCAGCAGTGCTGCTCAGGGTCCAGCACCTGCAGCATCACCACCACCGGAGGGCCCAGTGCTCACTTTCCAGAGTGAGAAGATGAAGGGCATGAAGGAGCTACTGGTGGCCACCAAGATCAACTCGAGTGCCATCAAGCTACAACTCACTGCGCAGTCGCAAGTGCAGATGAAGAAACAGAAAGTGTCCACACCCAGCGACTACACACTTTCCTTCCTTAAGCGGCAGCGCAAGGGCCTCTGAACTGTTGGGGATTCCCTGACCAGGCCCTGGGCCCTGCCCTCACTCCCAGGAGGTTTCACCCTAGTTCCCAATTCAAGCCCAGACTGCCCACAGTCCTAGGGGGCCCAGAGCTGTCCTGCAGTGACTGGGAACCTTCAGTTAGCTCCTTTAGGCTGTGGCTCAGTTCTTAGAATCTAGGCTTCATCTCCCACCTGCCAGCCAATTGGAACCTCATTGTAGGTCTGTGTAACCAATCTTTAAAGGTCCAACCCCCAAAATTGAGTAGACCATGACAGGAACCCTAGTCAAGTCTGAGCAGTTCGGCATTCCTCCCACTTTGGGGCTGAGGTTGACCTTAGCCCAGAAACACAGATGCTACCTGTAAAATGGAGAACCAAGGACTCCAATCCCTAGGGGTAGATTTCTGGCCTTTGGGAATCCAGTCTCCTACCCCAAAGAACTTACATATTACTGCCTGAATTTGGAAATCTTTGCTTCCTCGCCTCCCTAACCCCAGAGTCCAGGACATGAAGCTTCGACTCTTGTCTGTGACTACTGAGCCTCGCCCCCTTCCTGACCAAACTGGCCCTAGACCAGAGCAGGACCTCTTCCAACCCTCTGGGAACCTCCCCGAGGTCCCGGGAGGAAATCTGCACGGGGTGGGGGAGGGCCAGTCTCTTCCTGTTTTGTACATAGATTTATTTTTTAGTTCAAGGAAGATAAATACATTTTGTTAAGAAAAAAAATCAAAGACACGTTTGTGTTTCATCTGGGAACTTGGGGATGGGGCGGGGAGTGGATGTCCGCTTTGCTCTGTCTTTGGATTTTGAACTTAATACTCTGCACCTGTAGCGCGTCAAGAATCCGGGTGGGGAAGAACCTAAGCTCCGCCCCCAACTAGGGGACTTCCCCGCGCAGACAGGGCGCCTCCTCCTGGCCAGGAGGGCGGAGGGGCATCCCCGGCCTGGTCCCGCCCCAGCTTGGCCCCGCCCCTACAGCCTCCGAGCCTTGCGGCTGCCCCTGCCTGCCCTCCCGCCTCTCTCCGCCCCGCCCCGCGCCGCTCCGCGCCGGCTCCGCAGCTTGAGCCGGCCGGCCGGTCCGGCGCCGGGCTATGGCGCTGTTGCGGGATGTGTCGCTGCAGGATCCGCGGGACCGCTTCGAGCTGCTGCAGCGTGTGGGGGCCGGGACCTATGGCGACGTTTACAAGGTGCGCTGTGCGGGGCGGTGGGACAGGCGGGAGCGCAGGAGGAGGGTGCATCTGCACGTCCCGCCGCCGGAGCCCCGGTCCCGCCCCCTCCTCACCCCGCTTCTTGCTCTGCGCCCCTCAGGCCCTTGACACCGTCACGTCCGAACTGGCCGCGGTGAAGATTGTCAAGCTAGACCCAGGTGTGGGCCCGGGTGGGGCCTCTGCACTCCAGGGAGGCAGGCTGGGGCGCGTGAGCTGGTGGGGGCGGATAGTTGACATTTTCGAGAGCTCCAGAGAGGCGGACCCCAGGAGAGACTGAGAGTTGGCACCTGCCTTTCCAGGAAAGAAACATTCTATGCCCAGTTTGCACATAGGGGCAGAATCTGGGCTATCTCTGTGTGCCCCCCATAATGCCTTGTGCTCCCCAGGGGACGACATCAGCTCTCTTCAGCAGGAAATCACCATCCTTCGTGAATGCCGCCACCCCAATGTCGTGGCCTACATTGGCAGCTACCTCAGGTGAGGTTGTTTATCTTCTTACTCCAAACCGCCCTCGTGTGCCCTGCTGTGTGCCAATCCCAGCGCTTTGTCGTCCCCCCCCCCAGGAATGACCGCTTATGGATCTGTATGGAGTTCTGTGGAGGGGGGTCGCTGCAGGAGATTTACCACGGTGAGAACCAGGCTCCATGGGACATGGGACATGGTCTTCCCCTATCCCAACATGAGAGGGCATCCTCCAGGCTGAACTTGGGCTGTGTGACCTTGAGAGAAATGCTGTGCTTCTCTGGGCTCACTATCACAGCCTGACATGCATGGCTAACATTACTTTGCTGAAATGGTGCCTGCTACTTCCCATTATGCAGGGTGGCTAGGGAGGGTCAACATATCCCTCAGACTATCTCTCCAGCCATCATGCTGTCCATTTCAGCCACTGGGCCCCTGGAAGAACGGCAGATAGCCTACGTTTGCAGGGAGGCATTGAAGGTACTGGACTCATAGGCAGCACCCACTTTGGAATTCTCAGGAGTGTGGACCTAACCCAGCTGGCCAGTGGGGGAGTGGGACCTTGGGATGGGCTGTCCCAGGGGCTGTGGGTCCTAAGGGGGAGGGGGCCCCAGTTCTGTTGCCGGAAGCAGCCTGTTTTCCTCTTGGCTCAGTCACTTCCTGTTTGGGGAGAGGGGAGGAGGAAGCGGCTTGGGTGGGGGGCCCCAGTCCTGAGGAGGGGCTCAGGAAAGATGATTAGAGCTAAGAGGAGTCTTTGTCCCCAGGGTCTCCACCATCTGCATTCTCAGGGGAAAATTCACCGAGACATCAAGGTAGGGGTTAGCCGAGGGCATGGTTCAAGTGAGGAGGAAGCTGCCTGGCACCTGACAGGCTCCTTTCTGTGTCCCCCCCAGGGTGCCAACCTTCTGCTCACTCTGCAGGGTGATGTTAAACTGGGTAGGTACTGGGGGATGCCATGTGGGTGAGGGTTTAGCAGAGACCATAGAATTGAGTGCTGGGAGCCTAGTCACTTTAGTGCTCGCTCAAGCCTCAGTTTCCTGACTTGGGAGATGTAGCAATATTACCTGCCTGCCAAAAGTTGGCCGAGGTTAGGTTGGGAGGGACCTGACATGAGATCAGGTTTTCAGGGATGGAAGGTTTGTGACCCCTCTCAGAAGAGAGGCCTGGCCTTGCTTGGGACGGTTGTGGCTGGACCCAAGCCCTGCCCTGGTATAGCCTGGGCCCTGGGATGGGAAGTAAGTGAGGCCTTGGGCCTGGCAAGGGTCTCTCCTCCCTGCAGCGGACTTTGGGGTATCAGGTGAGCTGACAGCGTCTGTGGCCAAGAGGCGGTCTTTCATCGGCACTCCATACTGGTAAGATGGTGCCCTGGGAATAGGGGTGGGGCCACAAGTGGGGCACCTGACCATCCCATCTGTGATCCTGACTTTAGGATGGCGCCAGAGGTTGCTGCTGTGGAACGCAAAGGTGGCTACAATGAGCTGTGTGACGTCTGGGCCCTGGGCATCACTGCCATTGAGCTGGGCGAGCTACAGCCACCGCTGTTCCACCTGCACCCCATGAGGTCAGCTTAGCGCGCGCCCCCTTGCCTGACCCTTGCCCTGTTGACGCTTGACCCATGACCTTACATCCTTCCCAGGGCCCTGATGCTCATGTCGAAAAGCAGCTTCCAACCACCCAAGCTGAGAGACAAGACACGTTGGTGAGGGCTCACCCACAACTGAGATACCCGTTTCCAGCCAAGACCCGTGGGATGGAAGCTCTTGCCAAGGGTGGAGCTTGGTTCCTACCCTAGGCCCAGGACTTAATGGACAGGAGGGAAGGGCTGGTGGCTTGTGATGGAGGCATTGCTATGATGCAACAGCATTACTGTCCCAGCTGTTCCTTCCTTGGTGGCTGGCTGGGGCAATGGACAGGATGCTTCTATGCAGAGCTTAACCTGGGTCTGGGCGGGCGGGGCTTTTGTGCCCACTAGGACCCAGAATTTTCACCACTTCCTCAAGCTGGCCCTAACCAAGAACCCCAAAAAGAGGCCCACAGCTGAGAAACTTCTGCAGGTGGGAGACAGGGGATGGCCTGGGGAACTTGGGGCTCAAAAAAGAAGACCTGGAAGATAGGGCCAACTTGATGAACCCTTGTTCCCCCAGCACCCATTCACAACCCAGCAGCTCCCGCGGGCCCTCCTGACCCAGCTCCTTGACAAGGCCAGCGACCCCCACCTGGGAGCCCTCTCCCCTGAAGACTGTGAACTGGAGGTAAAGCCAGGACGGGAAGCTGGGTCAGCCCCAGCTGGCTGGAAGGGGCCCGAAGGTGATGAAATCAGAGTCTCCTTGACTTCTGGAATTGTAGCACAGAGCTTCTCTCTAGTCAAGCTCACCTGCCATGAGTCTTTTGAGCGGGTCTAGCCTCGCTGCACACCCTCAGGTCCTAGCCAGCCATGACTATGACTAAGCTATCTTCCTTTCTGTGTGGCCTTTGGCAAGCTTCTTGACTTTTCTGTGCCAATTTTCCCATCTGTGAAATGAGGGCTGTTTTATATCATAGTAACCTTAGAGGGGTGTCGTGAAAACGGAATGACTGATGATGTCAAGACCTGGAAGGATTCCTGGTCAGGGGTGAGTACTGGGTGCAAGTCTGCTGTATGTTCTTTCTTAGACCCAGGATATGTTTCCAGATACCATCCATTCCCGGGGCCATCATGGTCCTGCTGAGAGGACCCCCTCCGAGATTCAGTGTAAGTCTTCTAACAGGGCTAAACGCAGCCATGGATCTGGTGTTATTTTGGGGGTCCATTGTGAGACTTGGACCACTCCTAACCCAATACTGTGGACCCCTAGTTCACCAAGTAAAATTTGGTGCCCCCTCGCTGGAAGGAGACGGATCCTCTCAGTGAACCGGTGAGGCATTCGCTGGCTGGGGGTGGGGTGGGGGGAAGGGGTGTCAGGTGTGCAGATGCAGGTGGGATGTTCCAAATCAAGGCCAGTCTGAAGCAGGGGTTGCTGGGTCATCTGGAGTCCTCCCAGGCCATTTTCCTCTAGACAGCACCCGAAAGGCTGGCCACCCCCCTTCTAAAACCTAGGTTTCATAGGACTGAGGCCCCCACTTAAGCATATTCCTCAGTCTGCCCGTCACAGAATCATGTCACACTGTCTTCTTTTACTCCCCAATCCCACAATGTTCCTCTCTTTGCCCTGCTGTCCTACTGTCTTGCCTTTCTGTCATTTTGTCTTTTGTCTGTTGCCAGAATATTCTCCATCTGTCCGTCTGCTCTCTCCTGATATATTTCCCTCTCTTTGTCAATGTTGAGACCGGGTCTCTATCTAACTTAATGTAGCTGGTCTGGAACTCTCCCTGGAGTCTAGGCAGGCCTTGAATTCCAGATCATTCCTGACTATTCCCTTCCATCTTTTGATACCCTTCTCTTTTCCTTCACCTCTCTCCTGATGTCTTTGCCTTGGTCTCCTGCAGTGGGAGGAGGAATGGACGCTGCTGGGAAAAGAGGAACTGAGTGGGTGAGTGAGCAAGACTGGGGAAGCGGAGGGGGTTGGGCCTTATGTAAGGCTGACCGTTGGCCCCTTGCTCTGGCCCAGGAGCTTGTTGCAGTCAGTCCAGGAGGCCCTGGAGGAAAGGTGAGGGGCCTGTACCTGGGATGCAAAAGGCCTCCAGGCCTGGGGCTCAGTCTCATCTCACACCCCATCATGCCATCTCCTGTGTCCCTGTAGGAGCCTGACTATTCGGCCAGCCTTAGAACTCCAGGTATGGATTGCAGAGGGAACTGGAAAGTAAGCTGTGTGCCTTGGGGCGAGAGTACATCACAGGGCACCTGCTGATGGCCAGACTGTTTCTGACTCTCTTGCCAGGAGCTGGACTCCCCAGATGATGCCATGGGAACCATCAAACGGGCCCCGGTTTTGGGGCTTCCCCATACTGAACCAACATCTGATGACAATGCCCAGTCCTGCTCCCCAGGTGAGGCCCAGGCTTAGCAGGCCAGGAGGAATTCTGGGGTGGGGCTGGGGCTTGGAGTCACTACGGTCTGTGTGTACAGGAACCCCATCTGCACCTCCACCTGTCCCTGGCAGCCCCCCATTGCTGCCTACTGCCTGGGCCACCCTGAAGCAACGGGAGGATCCTGAGGTGAGAGGACACCAGAGGGGTGGGAGTAGGTTCTAGAGTGTCACCTTGGCCCTGACTCCTTCCCTTTTGTGTAGAGATCATCCTGTCATGGCCTTCCTCCCACCCCCAAGGTGCACGTAAGTGTTTACTGGGCATCCCTAGGCCTTGCTGTCCTGGCATTCCCGCTGGTCCCTCATCAGCTACTTGTTTCTTCTCCAGATGGGTGCCTGCTTCTCCAAGGTCTTCAATGGCTGCCCCCTGCAGATCCATGCTGCTGTTACTTGGGTTCACCCTGTGACTCGAGGTGGGCCAGGGGTGGAGCAGAAGCAGTAACCTAGGATGCCTTTAGGTTTGGGCTGGGGGTATGGCAGCTTCTGACCCCCATACCCATACCTGCAGACCAGTTCCTGGTAGTAGGGGCTGAGGAAGGCATCTACACCCTCAACCTGCATGAACTGCATGAGGATACACTGGAGAAGGTGAGGCCTCTTGGCTTTGGGGGGCAGAGGCACAGGGATGCTGGGTGCTAATCTTCTCTCTGTCTTTGGTCCTAGCTCATCTCCCAGCGCTGCTCCTGGCTCTACTGTGTGAACAACGTGTTGCTGTCACTCTCAGGTAGGAAGAGGAGGGTGCAGAGGCAGCCAGAGCACCCTTCCCCAAACTTTCTCTGAGTCCTGTGATCTTCCCCTTCTGCTGCAGGGAAATCCACGCACATCTGGGCGCATGACCTTCCAGGCCTGTTTGAGCAGCGGAGACTGCAGCACCAGGCACCCCTCTCTATCCCTACCAACCGTATCACTCAGCGCATCATCCCCAGGTCAGCAAGTGTGGAGTCTGGAGGAGGTCCAGAGTAGTACTGACTGTGTGGGACTCTGCCCACTCCTGAGACTGCCAGGATCTTAGCTAATCACTTGGGCACTTTCTGTCCCTGAGGTTGTTTCCTCCTGGTCAGTACAGTTGGTGTCCACCTGGCACGTTGGAATGCACAGAGGGATTGTAGCTGTGAAAAATGCTTTGTAGATGGTGGGGCAGTGGGCTTCATCCACAGTTCAGTGGGCCCTGTGCTGGACCTGGCGCATGAGTCAAGAGAAACCCTACTTTGTAGAAACAAAAGACATGGGCATTTATGGCAGACTGCTTGGTTCAGGGCAGGGACAAGGGTAGGGTTAGAGAGAATGATCTGGAAGCCAGGAGGCCAAGACAGCTGAGAATTAGAGGCTACATTCCAGTGTCTGAAGAGAGGGGAGAGTGTGTGCAGGAGGGATCGTGAGGCAAGGCCTGGGGACCCCATGGTGGTGTTGGCCTGAGGGCTGAGAGCTGCCCGGGTGGTCAGACCCTTCCTCTGTTGCCAAGTCTAGGACTTCGACCCTGTCCAGTGGACACCAGCACTGTCAGCATTTCAAAGGGTCCTATTATGTGCTGGTCATATGCTTCCCGCGGGGGTGGGGGGGTTGGGGGGTGGTTCAGCTCCCGGTCTAAGATCCAGGCTGCTGTGGTGGGCTCATGCCTGACATCCCAGCAATCAGACGGAGGCAGCCGTCCTGGGCTGCGCAGGGAGACTTTGTCTCAAAAACAAAACACAGCTGGGCATGGTTGTACATGCCTGTAATCTCAGTACATGGGAGGTAAGGGCAGGAGAATGATAAATTCATGATTATCTTTGCCTACTTATTGAGTTTGAAGCCAGCCTGAGCTGTGTGAGTTCCTGTCTCAGAAAACAATACGTTGGCCATATAGAGGACTACAGTAGGAATGGTATTTGGGAGGCAGAATGGTCAGGTCTGGAAACTGGCTGCAGAGGAGCCCACTGAGGAAGATAAGCGGCATTAATAGGTGCAGTCATTTCTCCAGTGCCTTCTTCATATGTTGTTGGCATTGTTCAGGGCTCAGGCACATCTGTGGACTGAAGGGAACTTTGCCCCTTCTCTTATTATTATTATTAATTTTTTTTGGTTTTTCGAGACAGGGTTTCTCTGTATTGTTTTGGAGGCTGTCCTGGTATCGGCTCTGTAGACCAGGCTGGCCTCGAACTCACAGAGATCCACCTGCCTCTGCCTCCCGAGTGCTGGGATTAAAGGCGTGCGCCACCAACGCCCGGCATGCCCCTTCTCTTAGTGCCATTTTTTTTGTAGTGAGGAGATAGATAGTAGACCTAGAAAAATGAGGCTCTTTGGCAGTGATGGTTCAGAGCTCACAGCACAGGAAGAGCAGAATGAAGAAGAGGATTTAAAGTGCTCTTCCTGAATCATAGTGAGAAAGCGCTGTTTGAGCCAAGACACAGGACAGGGCTGAGGCTGTAGCTTGCTGATAAAGTGCTTGCCTAGCTTATATGGGGCTGTGGGTTTAGTTCCCATCACTGTAGGAAGAACTTAGGACTTAGAGGAGTGTGGGGCTGGCCAGATTGCTCAGTGGGTAAAGACACCTGCCACCTGATGATCTGACTTCAAATCCTGGGGCCAGGTGATGCAGTGAGAGGGTCACCTCCTACAAGCTGGTCTCTGACTCCACATGCACACCATGGTGTGCATACATGCGCACATGCACACATACACACACACTCACTCATACCCACACACACCCCACACACAAATACACATACACTCATACCCACACACACCCCACACATGTGTACACACACACACACACACACACACACACACACACACACACACACACACGCCCAATAAGAAAAAATACATTTATTTATTGTTTTTTGAGACAGGGCTTCTTTCTGTGCAGCCCTAGCTGTCTTGAAACTTGCTCTACCAACCAGGCTGGCTTTGAACTAGAGATCTGCCTGCCTCAGCCTCCTGAGTACTGGGATCAAAGGTGTGTGCTAGTACTGCCAGCCAATAAAGTTACTTTTTTTTTTTTTTGGTTTTTACGAGACAGGGTTTCTCTGTATTGTTTTGAAGGATATCGGTCCAGCCCGGCCTCGAACTCACAGAGATCCGCCTGCCTCTGCCTCCTGAGTGCTGGGATTAAAGGCGTGCGCCACCACCGCCGGGCTATAAAGTTACTTTTAAAAAGATAGAATAGGTGGTTTTGGTGGTGTCAGTCTGGTCTACAGAGTGAGTTCCAGGACAGACAGGGCTACACAGAGAAACCCTGTCTCTGGGGGGTGGAGAGGGAGTTAGAGAGCTGTGGGTATGTAGGGAAAGTTATAGGAGGAGGAGAAATCTCTTAATACTAAGGTCCTAGCGCAGAAGTGAGTGTGGTTTGCTTGAGGAACAGGAGATAACAGAGGATCTGTCTACAGGGAGGCCTTGGGTTTTTGACTCACAGCAGGTTGGAGGAGGCCACTGGTAAGGCATGACTGGCACTGAGCTCTTCATGGGCTCTCTAGCTGCTGGGTGAGGACTAAGCCACTGATGAGGGAGGATGTTGGAGGCCGTGGGAAGCCTGTTGCAGAGGTCAGGTGGCTAGCAGTGGAGGTGTGGGCTGCAGCAGGAGTAAAGAAAGTGAGAATTGGTCTGGTTCTTGTTCTGTTTTGCAAGCGGATCCAGCAGGATTTCCTGGTGATAGGAGGTATTTGAAAGGGAAAGGGGAGTCAAGGTTGAGGGGAGGATGGAGCTGTCATCAGCTGCAAGTGATGATTTGCCACATTAAGTAAACTATACGCCTGTCACCCAAGCATTCCAGAAGTTGAGGCAGGAGGATTACTGGTTTGATGCTACAGTGTAAGATCTGTATTAAAACGTGCTTTTCAGAAGGTACACGCACATTCTCCGTGAGTGGGGCCTCCCTAGTTCATCTGGGAGAACTGGACCACCAACAAGAGTGGGCCTGGCAGGGGCTCCAGTGCTGTTATGACCAGGCCAGGCCAGGGACAGCAGTACTGGGGGACCTAGAGGAGAGTCCTGTCTATAGAGCCCACACCGAGCCTGTATGTGGTACCCTGTGGCCTCTGGTTTCCTGAGCCTCTATTCTGACCCAGAACCTTAGGCAGAGGCTTGCCATAGTCCTGGTAAGCTGGGCAGCTTTGAACCTGTGTTTACTTTGAACATACAGAGGGGAAGACATGGAATTCTTTAGAGGAAACACGAGATGCAAAATTATATGCCCCTGGCCTACCCTGATGCTAGCTGGGGAGAGAGTGGGAGGAAGAGGGAGGGCAGAGGGCAGTGGAGTGAGGCAGACACTGCTTCCTCCCAGGGGCTTGTCCTGGCAGGCACACAGACAGGACCTGATTCACTGGGAGGAGATTGTCCTGCTAATAGCTTAGTTCCTCAGATGAAGAAACAGTCTCAAATGGTCAGTCCCCTGAGGGCCTGGGGGACTCCCCGTAAGACAGCCACTCACTGGCCCCAGAGAGTGCTAGCCCCAGCTAGATGCATTAGGCAGGCATTTACTGTTTGAATCTACATTTCCCAGGGCCTCTTTGTCAGTCTTTGAAATGGGTTGAGTATACTCAAGCTGGTACCTGCCTCGGCTTCTGTCTTCACACTAGTGACTTGTTTAAAACCATGAAGAGCTGGGTGGTGGTGGTGGTGGTGGCGGCGGCCGCGGTGGCGGCGGCTCATGCCTTTTATCCCAGCACTCTTGTGAGTTCAAGTCCAGCCTGGTCTACAGAGTGAGCTCCAGGACAGTCAGGGCTGTTTCACATAGAAACCCTGTTTCAAAAAACTAAAACTGGCCGGGCGTTGGTGGTGCACGCCTTTAATCCCAGCACTCGGGAGGCAGAGGCAGGCGGATCTCTGTGAGTTCGAGGCCAGCCTGGTCTACAGAGTGAGTTCCAGGACAGCCTCCAAAGCCACAGAGAAACCCTGTCTCGAAAAACCAAAAAAAGAAAAAAAAAAAAAAAAAGAAAGAAAGAAAGAAAAAGACAGATCTTACACTATAGCATCAAACCAGTAATCCTCCTGCCTCAACTTTATCAGGTAAAGATGGTCGATGCCAAGCCTGATGATCTGAGTTCAGTCTCAAGGATGCTCATATTAAAGGGAGACCTGGTTCCTGCAAGTTGTCTTCTGACCTCTACAGACCAGGCTAGCCCTTTACACTACCGTGCCCTGTTACATTTGTTATTTTTGGGGGGATTGATGAACCAGAGTATACAAGTGGAGGTCAAAAGACAACTTATAGGAGTAATTTTCCTCTGCCTACCACATGGATCCCAAGAGTTGAGGTTTTAAGTCTTGATGGCTGATGCCAGGACCTAATGAGCCAACTAGCTAGCCCAAGAAACGTTAAAAAACAAGAAAGACAAAAAGTGTGGGGGAGGGGGGCAAGGCAGGGTGGCACAGAATCTGGTGGCTCAGGCTTCTAATATTAGCACCTGGAAGGCTGCAGCAAGGTGATCAGGGGTTTGAGACCAGTCTGGGTTACAAACCCTGTCATTAGAAACTTACAAGTGACCTGGGGCTGGAGAGATGGCTCAGTGGTTAAGAGCATTGACTGCTCTTCCAGAGGCCTGGATTCAGGGTCCCATCATTTACATGGCAGCTCACAATGACCTGTAGCCTCAGCTTCAGGAGATGTGATGCCTTCTTCTCCCTTTGCAGGCACCAGACACAAATACAGTGTCCATACATACATACATGCATGCAAGCAAGCAAACACTCATACACCTGAAAATAAAGTAGTCTTAGAGAGAGAGAGAGAGAGAGAGAGAGAGAGAGAGAGAGAGAGAGAGAGAGAGAGAGAGAGAGAGAGAGAGAGAGAGGAGGGAGGGAGACCCAAAACAAAAGAATAAACTCCTCCTAGAGTGCCCCAGGTCAGGGAGTCCAACATGCTCACAGGCCTCAGTCCCTTGCAGCTCTGAAAGGCACATTGCTGCACCTTGCTGAGCTTAGTGTCTCATCTGTGAAGCAGGAAGATGACAGTGACCACCACACAGGGCTCACTGGGGGCCTTGCCCGTGGATGACTCCCAGAATGTATGCTGATTTTCACCTCTGCAGGCGGTTTGCCCTGTCCACCAAGATTCCTGACACCAAAGGCTGCCTGCAGTGCCGCGTGGGTAAGAGCTGGCTGCTTGGGGCTGGGAGAGATTCTGTGAGTCTGAGCCCTTGCCCACCACCTCCTTCTCCCGCAGTCCGTAACCCCTACACAGGCAGTACTTTCCTGTTGGCTGCCCTGCCTGCCAGCCTGCTTCTGCTGCAGTGGTATGAGCCGCTGCAGAAATTCCTGCTGCTGAAGGTAGGAGTCCAGAGGGCCCGTGGGTGGGTGGCAGGGTGCCTGCAGGAGAAACAAAGCCTGGCTTCTCTGTTGTCTTCCAGAACTTTTCCAGCCCCTTGCCCAGCCCTGCAGGGATGCTGGAGCCGCTGGTGCTAGACGGGAAGGAGCTGCCACAGGTGTGTGTGGGCGCAGAGGAGCCTGAGGGACCCGGCTGCAGAGTCCTGTTCCATGTCTTGCCCCTGGAGGCTGGCCTGACTCCAGACATCCTCATTCCGCCTGGTGAGCAGCAGAGCTGGGTGCTGCAGGGAGGGGACACTTCAGGCTTTCTGATCTGGGCTTCTAGGAAAGATTTTATTAGACTAGCCTGGGCACAATGGTCTCTCTTCTGAGGCTGAAGCAGGGGGATTGCATGAACCCATGAGTTAGCATAACAATCCTAAGTATTAAGAAATAAGAAGAGGGGCCGGGCGTTGGTGGCGCACGCCTTTAATCCCAGCATTCGGGAGGCAGAGGCAGACGGATCTCTGTGAGTTCGAGGCCAGCCTGGTCTACAGAGTGAGTTCCAGGACAGCCTCCAAAGCCACAGAGAAACCTTGTCTTGAAAAACCACAAAAAAAAAAAAAAAAGAAATAAGAAGAGGGGCTGGAGAGATGGCTCAGTGGTTTAGAGTTCCAGGGCAGCCTGACCTACATAGTGTGGTCCAGTCTCACAAGCAAAACAGGGTTAGGCATGGTGGCATGTAACTTTAATCCTAGCATTCAGGAGGCAGACACAGGTGGATCTGTGAGTTCAAGGTCAACCTAGTCTACATAATGAATTCCAGAACAACCAGGGATACATAATAGAGAGACCTGTCTCAAAAACCAAACAAAAGGTTGGGCATTGGTGGCACACGCCTTTAGTCCCAGCATTTGGGAGGCAGAGGCAGGTGAATCTGTGTGAGTTCGAGGCCAGCCTGGTTACAGAGAGAGTTCCAGGACAGCTAGGACTACACAGAGAAACCCTGTCTTGAAAAACCAAAACCAAACAAACAAAAAGACAGACCAAATTAAACCAAAAGATCTTACTTTTTAAAAATTATTATTATTTTCTTGATTTAGGTTAGAAACAATCTTGTTTTACATGTCACCAAAAGATCTTCTTAGATCAAAAGGTTTAATAGCCAAGGCAAAGCTGACTGCCTGTGCTTAAGCCTGAGCCAGCAGTGGCAGGAAGAGGGACTCTGGCCAGGAAGGGACTGGAGGTTTATACTCTGATGGGGAAGGGTGACCTGTCAACCATGGGGACAGCTGGGGCACTGGGAAGAGAAGGAAAGACCCCTGGTACTATCAGCCCCTCAGGGGACATTCTTCATAATTTTTCTGCTGCTTTTTAAAAACAAGATTTAGGGGCCTGGAGAGGTGGCTCAGAGGTTAAGAGCACTGACTTCTCTTCCAGAGGACCTGAGTTCAATTCCCAGCAACCACATGGCGGCTCACAACCATCTATAATGAGGTCTGATGCCTTCTCCTGGGGTACATGCATGTACAGATTAAAAAAAAACTGTATGCATAATAAATAAATACTTAAAAAACAAGATTTGTTTATTATGTAGAAAGTGTTCTGTCTACATGCCAGAAGAGGGCACCAGATGTCACTAGAGATGGTTGTGAGCCACCATGTGGTTGCTGGGAATTGAACCTCTGGAAGGGCAGTCAATGCTCTTAATCTCCAGCCCCTTTCTGCTGTTTTTTTTTTAAAATAGTTTTTAGATTTACTTTATGAGTATGAATATCACATGCATGCCTTGGAGGTCAGAAGGACTGACTTGGAGTTCTAGAGGGTTGTGAACCACTCACTATGTAGGTGCTGGGAATCAAATCTGCATCCTCTAGAAGAGCAGCTAATGCCTTAACCACTGAACAATCTCTCCAGCCCCCTCAGTCTTAATTTTTACAATGGCCCTGCAAAGTAGACTTTGTTATGTCTGAAAGACCAAAGAGGAAACTGAAGTTCAGAGACAGGAAGTGACTTGTGCTAGATCACACATGTAAGACTCACAGCCAAGTTTGTCTGACTCTGGAGCCTTCTGTAGGCTCCACCTGGACCCATTGCTCCTAATAAGCCTAAGGGCAGGGCAAGTCCCTTGTTCTGAGTATGATCCTGTAGGGCTACTGGGAGTGAAATACATTGTTGGTTTAGGACTGGCTGTAGCAGTCCCCCATAGTCCTTGGGATACTAGAGTGGCTGGTAGCTCACCCAGGCAGGCCTTACCTCCCTTCTCCGCCCACAGAGGGGATACCAGGCTCCGCTCAGCAGGTGATCCAGGTGGACAGGGACACAGTCCTGGTCAGCTTTGAACGTGAGTGCCCTAGGATCAGGGTTGGAGGGCTCTATTAGGCCCGAGTATGGCAAACATGGCGCCGGCAGTTTTTGCCTTCCCCTTTCTCCCCCATTCCCTCTACCTTGCTAAGCCATCAGATTATATTCCTAAAGCTAGCCACAAAGGTCTAGCTATCAAAGTAATGAAGTCCAGCAATCGAGCACCCCCCTATTGGCTGCCCTAATTAACATACCCAATCAAAATTCACCAACTCATCCTGACATGGGTTTCCCCTTTCCCTTTATAAATGCCATTTGCCCATGTCCACGTCTGTCTCTCTCTATCCAGAGGCGGTCCTTTGTCCCTCTGGGGCAAATATCTCTTTCCCCCTCTCTCTTGTTCTTTCCCTCAGTCCCTCATATTCTATCTCTTTGTCTCTTATTCCCTGCCCTTCACCCTTGTGCTGAAAACTTGATCTTGGGTGTCTTGTACGAATTTTGAGGTCCTTTCAGTGGTGAGGAAGGCTTTATGGGTCTACTCTCCAAGAGGGGAGCTAGCTACCCTCCCCCACACCAGCTCTCTTCCCTGTGCAGGCTGTGTGAGGATCGTCAACCTACAGGGTGAGCCCACAGCTGCACTGGCTCCTCAGCTCACCTTTGACTTCCCCATTGAGACTGTGGGTAAGTAAGCCCGCTGTGGCCGTGGTGGCAGCCACAGTCCAGAAGCATGTGTGATTGGCTCAGGGCTCAGGGTTAGCAATGGGACCAGGGTAGATTCCCTGCTCCCTTTGGAGAACCATCCTGAGGGGTGGCCTGGGTCAGACCTTATGGCAAGGATCAGGAGACTCATGGAGTGTGGGGGTAGTGTAGGGCCAACAGAGCCCATTCTTCCAGTGTGCCTGCAGGACAGTGTGCTGGCTTTCTGGAGTCATGGCATGCAGGGCCGAAGCCTTGACGCCAACGAGGTGAGTGGGGCTCAGGGACTGCCTGCCTCCAACTCTGAGGGCCCTGTTAGAAAGCACCTGCTGGGATAGTCTCAGAGTCCCTTCTCTTCCAGGTGACTCAGGAGATCACAGATGAGACCAGGATCTTCCGAGTGCTGGGGGCCCACAGGTAGATAAAGGTGGTGCCTGAAATGCACTTTGCATTGCAAATACCACCGCCAGGCTAGAGATGGGAATGGTCTCACCTGCTCATCTGACTTTCCTTCCCTGCTCACCTTGCGCCTCTCCCCCCACCAGGGACATCATCCTGGAGAGCATTCCCACTGACAACCCTGGGGCACACAGCAACCTCTACATCCTCACAGGCCACCAGAGCAGCTACTGAGCTGTCTCCTTGATGGTGCCCAGTCATCACCTCCAGCCTCTTGTTGGGGCCCCAGAAGGCAGACCTAATTCTGAGAAGTGTTTGGGGGCAGGGAGGGAAGGTAGCCCACCCCCCTCAGCAATAACTGGACCAGAGGAAGCTGTGACCACCTACCCTCCCTGCAGTTGTCCCCCAGTGCAGGAGGCCCTAGGCAGGATGGGGCTGCCTGGATGATCCATTCCACTTTCTCATTTTTCCTTTTTAGTCTTTCTGCCAAGAGCCTACCCCAGGTTCTGTCCTGGGTAACATGTATTTAAGAGAATCATGTTAGTATTAAAGCTGGTTGGTGGTATCCCATTGGTCCCTCTGAGGTGGAGGAGCTGAGCCCTCACCTTCTGCCCCGTTCTTGTCTCTCTCCTCCTCTCACTGTTTCCTGCAGAACACTTTTCTGGAAGTATTTGGTTGGTCTCAGGCATGCACCAGGAAGGGCAGTCCACTCAGGTGATACAAGCCAGTGGTCCAACAGCCATCTTGGGCTTGTATCCCCCTGGTCCCTGCCCAGAGCAGCCCTCACTCACTCTTGTGGATTGAGACAGCAGCTACTGTAGTCTGGCATCTTGTGGACTTATGCAGGAGAGTGGTGAGCCTTGCCCCAGGTATGATCTTGTTTGTGGTCTGCAGGAGGATGCTGGAAGCTAGCCAAGGAACTAGCTACCATTTCTGGGATCTGTGCCCTTGCCCTGTCTACTGAAGTATCCCATGACAGGCCTGTAAGAATATAGTGAAGCCTCAACATAGCCTGGGAAAATGAATGTGGGTTTCTTTTTGTTTGTTTGTTTGTTGTTTTTCGAGACGGGGGTTCTCTGTATTGTTTTGTGATGTGGGTTTCTTTAGTCACTCTATGCTAGGCCTGGGATTACTACCAAGATACAGCTCAACACCCAAGAAATACATTGGGGCCCATCTCCCTTGCGGCTCAGCTTGGGCTTTGTATTGTCCTCCCTTAGTCCCCTTGCAAAGGGCTCAGATCCCCCAGGGCCAAGTGCCCCCTCCTGTGGCCCTAGATACTGACTGTCTTGCCACTGAAGGGAGAATGGGGCACACAGAGCCAGGCCTGGGACGGCTAAGGGAGGGGGGTGTTGTGGTGCAAAGATTCAGAGCTCAGTTCCAGCTCATTGTCAGCCTCCTGACATTTAGAGCAAATGTTGGCAGGTTTTATGCTGGTACGCTGGCTCCAGTATGTACTTGCCAGCTAGTGAAACAATGGGTGGGTGACGGTGGGTAGGCAACAGTTCATATGAATGGGATTTGTGTCCTTGGGGTTGTCACTGTCTGTTCAGAGCCCAGACTGCTTGGTTTCTAGTGACCAAGATGGTTGTTTGGCTGAATACAGAGCCAGACCAGGAAAAGGAGTGGAGCGTTATGTCGTCGCTGAGACCCTAACTCATCTGAAGGGTCAAGGGAAATAGGGCTACACTAAAGATCCTAGCTTCCTATCTCCTGTACTTCTTGGGAGCATGCTGGTGGTGAGAGAGAGGAGTGTATTCTACCCAGGCCACAACTGTTACCAGATGCCCTGGGAGAATTGCCCTCTGACCTCAGAGCACTGGGCTGTCCACAGTGCCATCTTATGGCAGGTGGCTCAGCCTGGCATTACCTGAGAAGGTTTAGGGGTGTGATATGCCAAAGTGAGGAGCCTGTGAAAAGCAGGGCCCACTGATAGTATTTGGTGCCATAAACCAAAGACGGGGAAGCCAGGAATACGCACTGAAAGGTGTAATTTTATTTATATATTTGTTTATAGACAGCTTTTTCAAATACAAAAGAGAATTGATGAAGCTAGGCTGTGGTGAAAGCCTATGGTCCCAGTACTCAGGAGGCAGAGGCAGGACTGTCCATGAATTGTAGTCTACCCTGGTCTACATAGTGAATTCCAGGTCAGCCACGATTATATATAGTCAAGATCCTGCCTCAAAAATAAATAAAACTTGTCTCTCCTTTGTCCTCCAGTCCCTTCTAGAAGTATTTATGATATTTAAACAATTTGGTATATTTTTTATTCACATGGCAACAGTTCATATATCCTGCTGGCTCTCTGAAAATACATACTGGAGATCTTTCCATTATCAACCTTTTTTTGTATGACTTGTGCTGGGTTGTACATGTTTCAGGTGACTAATGTTAACTGAAAGATCCTTATCAATGGAATGTATTTCTATTTTAATATCACAAACACTGCAATAAATAACTCTGTGTCAGAACCACTCTGCATACTCTAGTGTTCCTGGGGGATCAATTCCTGAAGTGGCACTGGTAGGTTGGAGTGGCTGTGTTTCCCATGGTGAGGTATCATAAAAGTGCCGTCTGTGGGATGGGGCCTCTTTTTCATTCTGTGGATAGATACATCACCGGTTATGGTGACTCATACCTGTCACCCAGCATTTTATAGTCTGAGACAGGACTGCCAGCCAGTGCTACATACCAAGACCCTTCCTGAAAAAAGCAGAACAGAGAACGTGGGAAACTAGCATGTTCAAGCAGGCCTGTGCCAGAAGGTCACATGGGAAAATCCTGGTGCAGAGCCTCTGGAATGAGAGGGGGAAAGTGATGTGGAGCACAGGGCAGGTACCATATACACTGAGCTTGATTTCCTTCGGGATGACCATCAGCTAACACAGGGCAATTGGGCAGTCAGGAAATGCTGGAAGTCCTTAATGCAGCAACACCAACAAGTCTTAAGCCAAAATAGTAAGTCCCATAATATGGCAAGCGTGTGCTGAGAAGTATGTTAGGAAGCTCAGAAACTAGCAAAACCATGAATTCATACACACAGGAAGTTATGAGAGGAGGTTGAGCACAGTGGAGCACATGTGCAATCCCAGGACTTGGGATGCTTAGCCAGTTTAAGGCCAGCTACATAGCAAGAATGTTTGGGGTGGGGGCAAAAAGTATGGAGAAGAAACGAAAATGGCAGCTTTCAAGCCAGGGCCTCAACAGGTTCAGGGACTGCACAGGGGGTTGCTACTGACTCACCTGGAATGGAAAGTTGACAGCAGGGACTGTAGATACTATAATTATGGCTTTGTTTGGGTCTACAATGGAGGGGTCATACCCAAGGCCTTACGTTAGGCACGTACTCTGCCACCCAGCTTCATCCTCAGCCCCAGAAACTATGTTTATACTATAAACAGAAAAATGTCCAAAATGATGAATTTATTAATTATTTTGAAACTGAGGAAGATGGCTCAGTGGGTAAAAGCACCTTTTAAAATTTTTTTTCAAGCCGGGCGTTGGTGGCGCACGCCTTTAATCCCAGCACTCGGGAGGCAGAGGCAGGCAGATCTCTGTAAATTCCAGACCAGCATGGACTACCGAGCGAGTTCCAGGACAGCCTCCAAAGCCACAGAGAAACCCTGTCTCGAAAAAACCCAAAAAAAATTTTTTTCATGACAGGGTTTCTCTGTATTGTTTTGGAGGCTGTCCTGGAACTCGCTCTGTAGACCAGGCTGGCCTCGAACTCACAGTGATCTGCCAGCCTCTGCTTCCCGAGTGCTGGGATTAAATAGAGGTAGGCCTGGTCTACAGAGTGAGTCCCAGGACAGCCAGGGCTACGCAGAGAAACGTCTCGAAAAGCAAACAAACAAAAAGACAAAGACCCAAACCAAACATCAAACCACAAACAAAAAACTACCCCATTCCGTAACTTTTTTTCCTAAAGAAAACAGGAAGTTCACTACCTGCGCAGCCGACGTATCCGGTTCATTTACTCGAGCCCGCCCATTCCCCGCGGTTCCTGGTTACCTCTGGCACAATGACCAACGTCACCTACGGCTTCCGCTCCCGCCCGTGGAGGGACAGAGGCCGCTTGGCTTCAGTACGCATGCGCACCTCCTGCTCTCCGCCTCCCCCGACCTTCGTTCGGGCTTCTCCGGGCTTTCTCGATTCCCGAGCAACTCGTGCCTAGGAGGATAGCCGTTTCAGCCAATCCTGAGGCATTACGACTCCATCGCCTTCAGCCAATGAGCTAGCCGTTCGCTCTACGTCATAGACTTTGCCCCTCCTTATCCCCCGCCTCTCCGGCCTCGGCGCTCAGTCCGCGCAGTAACAAATGAAGTGCGCGCTGCGACACCTCCCAGCTCACCCGGCCCCGCCGCCATTTCGTCGCCTGGCCTAACGGTTCGGCCAATCCCGACACGTATCGGAAAGGACTAGCGCTCCACCAATCGGAGGCCGCTGACTCCGACCTCACCTCGGGCCGGCCCAATCCAGGCTCCGGTCCCGCAGCCCTCAGACCGCCCCCGCGGCATCCTCTCTCCTCCCTCTTTGTGCGTCTGGCGCCGCCGCCGCCCGCCGCGTGAGAGGACTGGCTCCCCGCGCTCCTCGGCAGCGTAGTCGGGTCCCCTCCCCCCCGGAAGGTTCGCGAAGGAGAAGCCGCCGCCGCCGAGGACAAGGAACCGCTGGTGCCGGTCCCCTGGGGCGCCATGGCGACCGGAGCGAACGCCACGCCGCTGGGTAAGCTGGGCCTTTCAGGCCTTCCCCCGCTTTCTGGGCCCAAAGGCGGCTTCGAGCCGGGCCTGCTGGCGCTCGGGCCGCTGGGGGCCCTGACGGCGGCCCTCTCCTTAGCGGCGCCCCCGCCCCCAGCCTCGAGCCCGCCCGCCGCAGCGGCCGCCCCCGCGCCGCCGCTCTTCCAGCGAGTGTCGCCTCCGCGCCAGGACCAGCAGCCGGGCCCGCCCGGAGGCGGCGGAGGTGAGTCGGGCCGACAGAGCGCGAGAGGCGTCGCGCGGACCGGCCGGCCGGCCGAGGGGCACGGGACCGAGGTTTCACGCGGCAAGGACGCGCGCGCGTGCACGGGGGGCCCGGGCGGACGCGCCCCAGGGTACGCGCGGCCTGGTTTGGGAGGCTTCGAGTGCGCATGCGCCCTCTGAGAGGAAGCAGGGCGGGAGGAAGCGTCCATTGCGCAGACGCAATGAGGCAGTCAGGCTTTGTGGCGCAATTCGCATAGCTTGTCTTAAGAGGCCACCTGTTGCCCCTTGAGCTGCTGTGGACAGGAGAGTGTAAAAAAGTCCACGTAGCGATGTGGTGTGAGTGGTCCTCCTTACGATTTTAGGACCCTGAAAGGGAGACCAGTCCCGTGTCAGGAGTGCCTCCTTTTTTACAATAAGGCCAGTTTGGAAGGCTTCTGGAGGTGTTTGGGCTCGATTTATTTTTTCTTTTTAAGGCTGTTGATCTTTTGTTTTCTAGAAGGTTTTTGAGTGACCACCTTTCCCCGGCCGATTTAAAAGGCTTTTACTCTGGCCTGTAATCCTGAGACGTAGAAAACCTTGTGTGGTAAATGTAGGGAAGAATTGGTTACATCAAGTTCTGATGCTAGGTGTCCTCTGGTCTTGCCGTGAGCACCGTCTTACCGAAGGATGGGACTTTGACTTAGTGATATGTAGGAAGAGCTTGGTTGTGTTCTCTTGGAGTTAATCTACTGCTTTGTAGATCTGATTGTCCAACCTGACTGCCGTGTAGAGCTCCCAGAATAGATGTGTATCAATCCTTATCACTTCCATTCTGGGTTTCTATTAAGGGCTCATACCTTTAATCCCAACAGAGACAGGGAGACAGAAGGCAGATGGATTGAGACCAAACCTGGTCTATATAGTTAAGGACAGCCAGGGCTCTGTAGAGACCTTGTCCCAAAGAAAACAACTGTAAAGGAATAGATGTGCCTCAGTAGTGTAGAGCCCTTACCTAGCATTTGCAACGACCTGGGTGTTCCCAGCATTACAAGAGAAAATTTGTTACTTATTTGTATTGACATTTTCATGCAAGTTTTTCCAAATGTGAAGTGTTCATTAACTTTTCTGACAGGACCAGATTCCTTTATGTGTGCTTGTTTTCTTCTCTGACCTCTGAGCCTGCTTTCCTTTTAAATTTAGGTGGATTTCTGTTTTAGTCTTTTATCATGAACTTCCTGTCACTCTCATGGTTCATGTTTCCTTCTGATGGGCTCTGTCTGTCTTTAGACTTCCCAAGTAAGAAGAGGAAGAGGAGCCGATGGAACCAAGACACGATGGAACAAAAGACAGTGATTCCAGGCATGCCCACGGTTATCCCTCCTGGACTGACCCGGGAACAAGAAAGAGCTTATATAGGTAAATACACGTTCTGCATCCAGGTGCATCTTCAAATTGTGACTGCTTATTCTGAGTGACAAATCTATTGAAAGTCTGAGGTTTTAGTCTTGGGACAAGGTGTGATCAGGAGTGTTTTATAGCTTTGGCATAAACTGATTTGCTTGGCCAGTCCTGGATCTGTAGCTTGTTTGGGCCTGCTCTCAGCAGCACATGGCCTCACTAAGCAGCCTACTTGTCAGCTGCTCTTGCTAACTGGTGAGGTGCATGCTATCTGCCTCTCTGGACAGGCCCCAGTGGAGGACACTGCAGGTATTGTAAACCAGGTGCCTTTTTTGTAGCGTGGCCTTTCACCATAATGTCATGGTTCCCTTTCCCTAAAATGTGGTTTTGCTTTTTTTATAGGTTACAAAACAAAAACATGGCTCTGAAAGTATTTACAGCTCACCCATTTTTACCATTTTGTTTAATTTAATCCTTCCCTTCATCTTTTCTTGTTTGGTCTTTAGAGAGCTGTCTTAAAAATGAAAGCTCTTAGCCAGGGGGTGGTGGCACATGCCTTTAATCCCAGCACTCGAGAGGCAGAGACAGGAGGATCTCTGTGAGTTCAAGGCCAGCCTGATCTACAAAGCAAGTTCCAGGACAGCCTCCAAAACTACAGAGAAACCCTGTCTCAGGGAAAAAAAAAAAAAAAAAGAAGGTTCTTGTAAAACCACTAAAGAACTCTGCTGGGAAAGGGTTTACTGTTTGATTTAAAATGAGGTGGTGGCAGGATTTTTAAAAAAGTAAGTTACTCTGCATAGTTGAATTGAAATTAAACCTCAAAATTACTTAGAAGCCAAGGTCATTCATACAAATTATATGTCTCAAAAAGTACACTTGATAAACATTTTCAACTAACCAAATAAACATCCTCTTTGGGCAGAAACCTAGTGGGTCTATGAAGCTGTGACCTTCACAAACACAGCTTCAGGGCCAATGTGGTCTAACCCTGGAGGGTCTTCATTTCCTGGTTTTTAGATTGCTGAGGATTTTAAGGCGTTGGAATTGTCTGCTTGTCACAGTACTACTAATACTACTTTTTCTCACTGTTGCTGTTTACTCTTACCCAATTCTTATGTGTCATTAGAGCAGTGTTGGACCTTCCAACCTTGTAAAATGCCCCTAGTGGTGTCATAGCCCAAGAACACAGAATCTGAGAAACACTTAATACTTTACAACTCTTTTTCTCTTCCTCTGGAGGCCTAGTTAATGTGCTAAACCCTTAAATACTATTTACATCTTTCATCAAAGTAGGTAGACTTAGAGTTAGAGGCCAGTATAAGTTCTTTGTTTCATGGGAGATAATAGCCTTTTCTGGCTTATTCAGTTCTGGGTATTCAAGTTAGATCCTACAATTAAGTCTGTCCTATTGTAGTTACTTTTTTATCTGAAGTTCCTGAGCTTAAAATGTCTTACTGTCAAGCTAGAACTTGTTTGGAGTAAAGGAGTGTGGAGAGCAACCGTGTCCCATGGCATACTCTTGTCCAGATGTCCTCAGTATCCTCTTGCTATTCGATTTACTTTTAGTTATTGTTTTGAGAATGGAATGTTGTATAGCCGTGTGAGACATACTTTAAAATTAGAATTATCAGCCAGGAAGTGATGGCACACACTTATGAGGCCAGAGTTACAGGAAGGACAGGGCTGCAAAGAGAAACCCTGTCTTAAGAACTGAAAAAACAATTATCTGTAGTTAGGTATGCATTAATCCTAATTATAAGTAAGCCATGCCCTTCCTACCTGCTCAGAAACCTGGAGCACGATAAAGATATAGTAGTTACATGCCATATTGAAAAATCCACTCTGTCTGTTATTCTGCTGTGTTAACATTTCTCATGAGTTACTGGAAGCTTTTTAGTGAAATCCTCATGTCATTTCAAACTTAAGGGCCACATGCATTCTCCTTGACTCTTATTTTCCATCTTTTATGCCCCTCCCCCCATCAGTAGCTGGCCTGAAAATAAACTCAGCCAGGTGTAGTAATAGCACATGCCTTTTACCCAATCACTGGGGGGGCAGGAACAGGTGATTTGGGTTCTAGGCCAGCTTGATCTACATAAGGAGTTCCAAGACAGTTAGGGCTGTTTTTGAGACCCTGTCTCAAAGAATCAAAAACAAACCTGGCAGTGGTGGCACACACCTTTAG